TGCTATGCCAGTTATAAATAATTTAAAGGAGCGGGTTCAATGTCTATGGACTCAAGATTTTTAAGTTTGTATCTTTAATTTAAATATAACGCTATTAATATCTTTCGTTTTGTTAATTTCTTTAATTCATGTAGTCAATCGTTTTTTATTTGGTAATTTCTTTAATTAATATAATTATAGCTGTTTGTTTTGTTAATCATTTAAATATGGATTTATCATATAACACATTAGAATGCTGCAATTAAAATCATAAAATGGTTTAACGTAGAATAAAAAAGCTATTTAATAATAATTTGCCTTACGCATTACCTCTTATTGTAGAATCAGTCTCATTTTATTAGCTAACTACTTAAGTACATTTTTCAAATCATTAAATGTAGGTATGATGCATCGCACATATAATTAATAACATACATTTATTTCCAGATTCTTACAACAGTCTCTGTTGAAATATCTGAAGATAAAGAGGAAACACCCAATCCCTGGAAAAGAAAAATGCAACTCCGAATAGATCAACAGAAGGTAAAAATAAAGCGACTCCAAGCTAGAAATCTTTATTTGAAGAAAAAAATTGCGATCTTGGAAGATATCCTTCAGATTTAACATATGCGGCACCCCGCAGCTGCCGATGTTTAAGATTTCGCGTCGATAAAAGACTAAATATCAAATAAACACGCACGGACCAGAAATACAATGGATATAGAATTTAGGGAGGATTGGACGACATTCGCAAGAAGTGCAGCGCAGTGCGCGTAGGTAACGCAGGATCAAAGCAAAGTGTGTTAAAAATCGTGTTCAACAGTTAGACTACTTTCACGAATATTTCGAACTAGAACTTTTTGAAAAATAGTTCGTGTCCATTATATGTCTATGTACACTCAGATCGCGTGCGTACTGTACGTTAAATGCACACCATTTCCCGTTGGTATGGCCCCAGCATGACACGTTTTTAATAGTGAAGATGTTCAGATATTCTGATTGTAAAATTTCTGGTTATTGATTCTGATTGTCTGTATGTTTAATACATTGAGTATTACGTGTGCAGGCAATCAACAATTATTTTAAATAACATACGAATACTATTTCCTATGTGAAAATAATGTTGAGAATACAGACAAATAGCATTTTGCAGCTAAACATTAAGTTATTTTTCTTAAAAAAAATTAACGTAATGATACATATAGCATTAGGCTAAACTACTGTTTAATACAATATAGGCATAAGTGCCGATTTTGGCGTGATTTAAAAAAACTTAAAACTAAAGTTGTCAAATTTAATTTTTGGTTAGAGAATCATACCAGAATCGACACAATTTTATTACTAAAACAATGTTTTATAGTGAAATAATATGTAATTTACATTTTATTTCACTATAAAACTTTGTTCTATTTATGAACAGTATAATATAAGCTGTAGAACTTTATTTAATGTGTTTTTTTCATTCATGGTGTATACATTATTATATAATACACAGAAAATCAGTTTAATAAAATTTTATGTTAATTTTCCAAATAAATAAAATGTGGAATATGTCAAGTTCCCTAAAAATCGGGAGTTTTTTAGCACATAAAAAATTGAACAGAGCAGCGCCATTCACAATAATTATGGCTGCGTTGTTCCATCTATTTTTATTTTTTTAAATCGACGATCGTTAAATTTAATAGCAAAAAAAAAAATTCTCTGTATCACATTTACTATGTATTTGAGGTGGCATTAACTTTAGTCAAATTTAACTAGCTATGAAACAACGCGGCCAAATGGATTGCGCTCATTACCTATGTCGGGTCGTAGCGGTGCAGAGGGGCTTGCAGCGCAGCGCAAAATGGTTTTCTTAGCACATTAGTGACTGGCCGCAGCGCAGCCGACTGTACGCACTGCTCATAGACGTTATAGTCTTAAACTCAAGTATGTAGTACTCCCAGAAGTCCGTCCAAGTGTAAGCACTTCAACCCGCTTGCTATCGCCTATAGCACGCTGTGTCAGAGCGCAGCGGGGCGGGGCATGGCGGTCTGCATCGCACGCAACCAAAATCCGCAGCGGAATATGCGGCCCGCTACGCCACGGCATCATAGTGTGTGATAGCTTATATCAAATACATACGATACGATATGATGTGAGCGAACTTTAAGAGTGAATACTTTCTCATGGCTCAGTGTTAAGATCCTTGTCGCATTGTAGACATTTAGAATCTTTGACCTAATAAAGGAATGCCCAACAAATAAAGAGAGACTACCAAATATAGTATAAATAAACTTAGTTACATAAATAAATGAGTTGTTTCTCTTATCAAGTTAGGTATAGTCTTTATCTATAAAGATTTTTTATGATCCTTCAGGCTGGAATCGAACGACGTCCATCGCAATCACAATCGCAATCCAGTCCCCGTAGCATGCAAGGGCGTCGCCAGCCTTTAGCCTAGCTAAGGAAAAGTTCATATTCATAAATGGACGGTGCAAATGTATGAACTCAGTTGGGATTGGAATCACTTAGGGGGCGTCCATAAATTACGTGAGGTGTTTTTTTTGGATTTTCTGCCCCTCCCTCCCCCCCTGGTGAGATGTCGTGAGATTTTATTCAACCCCCTCCCCCATCCCCCAATCTCACGTGAGATTTTTCAAAATGTGGGTTTCTTTCGTAAACGCGTTGGATTGTTATTGTAAAAAGAAAAAAAAATGGTTCGTGCTTTTATTTACGACTAGTTAAGACTAGTAATCAATATTGCTGAGATTTATAAGTGTAATAAAAATTTAACAACAGAATACTTAATAGATACTACTGTGAAAAAAATTGCGTGATATTTGCCGAGGCCCCCCCTCTCTCCAACGTAAGATTAGATGAGATTTGACTCGACCCCCTCCTCCCCTTAAACATCTCACGTAATTTATGGACTTAGTTTAGTGAATTCATTCAATGTTCGACGTGCAGAAAGCAGAAATCTTTGGCCAGGCAAGCAAGTCAGATGAGTGAACTAAGGACTTTGGTTGCTTTAAATTTGGCTACTTTTTTATATCTAGGGGGAGGCAGTTGCCCCCACCTGCTCCCCCTTAGCGACGCCCCCAAGACCCCACTAGCCCAAAAACTAATTCAAACGAAAATAATATCATGAATATCGATCATCACAATCAAAGTGGATAAACGGAGCTGGCAATTTTATTTTATATTCACTATACGGATGCTTCTATTATCCAAATATTTTTCAGAATTCTACCAAGAGGAAGTTAAAAAAACAATATTAATTGTTGTAAGTATAGAGTGTTATCGATTAAAAAGATTTCACAGTAACATGTTTTTTTTTTAAATCTTATAATGCCTCCCGCACACCTGCGCGACGATGCTTTACCTATTTTTTGCTCTAAAATAAGCGTTCGTGAATAACTTCTATCGTAAATACTCTTCTTGAGCTGTACATACAAATTTACCGTCTTCTACAACCTTTTTGATGTGTGTCAAAAATCGCCAGCCAAGCTATCGTCTAGCAGAGCGTCTATCGTCACTCAGCTCAGTAATGCTAATTTTAGCTATGCTACTTGCAAGAATTTTGATAAATTTCGATTTAATAAACACCAGATTTACAATAATGTTAAATTGACATTGACACTTTTCTATAGGATAAATGTAGTTCTAGTTGAATCGCGAATTAGCAAATTTTCTGCAAGTGGACCTAAGTACTTACCAAGGTATCGTCGCGCAGGTGTGGGAGAGGCATAATAAACAAAACTCGCATTATTCACAGTGTCGTTTCGAAGTGAAATAGGAAACCAATTTAATGGTGGTTGCTTTACTTGCTTTCTGTGGTTGTTGCACTGGTGCACTGCGGTTAGGATTGCCAACTTTTATTAGAATAATTAGAGTATATCTGATTTCAAGGCAGGTAAATAAAGAGTACGGACTTTTTAAATTTGTAAAAAGGCATTTTTTGACACTTTTTGGAACTTTTTTGGTTACGATAATAGGTATGTACCATTTATTCGTGACTAGCACTAGTATAATAAATATTCTTTAAAAAAGTATTTTATCGTCCTCTATTAGTGTTATAGTTTAGAATAGATGTAGAGTACGCCTACATGGTATAGAGTATAATTCTCTATTTTAGAGTACAGTTGGCAACCCTTACTGCGGTGGGTGCGATCTGCGATTGTGAATGGCGGGAAACCGCTGTACAGTTATCGAAGCATAAACTCCGCCGTTTTTGATGATTATTATATCTATCCAGTGATTACGCGTTCGTTTCCTTACCACACATTGCCAACATTAGTGCTGTACCAAGAAATCGTTCCAGTTCGATTCTGCGGCAGTTCTGTTAGAATAAGAAAAAGATCAATCATTGCGATTCGTAAAACGTTAGGTTTTTATAGGCAGCGTTTCACGTATGGATACATCCTTGTTATTTTTTAACTTGAAAGAAGACGATGAAGATGGGCTAGGTTTCAATTAAAACCTGTAATGGTTCTATAGGTACAATGCGCTGACAGACGTTCGACCAGAGGCTTCACTATCAAATGATTATCTTATTTTGCTATGTTCTTCTCTGCTGTGAGCTAGAGTTTACTGTTCTAGAAGATGAATAACGGAAACATAATTTTCCTGCCAATATTTTAAGCGACTTTGTTTGGTTGTCTCAGCACAGTATATTAATTAGCAATATTACTCTACTTTATTAATTTATATCTTGGATATTTATCTCCTTCAAAGATTTTCGTGGCAAAAAGTAGCTTACGTTGGGTCCTCTTCTAACGTCCCTTTCATCTTCATACCAAAAATGACTGTAATAGGTTTATGCGTGAAACAAGCGCTTATGTGAAGAGTAACTCGAAAAATATATATTATAATATGATGTCTTCATCTAATATAATTTCAGTTCCTCTTCGAATTTATAATTATAATTTCACGGTAACAAACTATTTTTCATGTCATAATTAATAATTACGTATTCGAATTTTCATTGAGATTTCCTATTTCGGAAGCTACCAACACCACTACTCACTAATTTGTGTTGCGCAGACCACTTAAATGACGAAAGAAAGTGAGCGCAACGTTGCTACGATTCTGGCTGTACGATTTGTACAACACCTCGACAGTGCTGCCCGCGACCAACTCGCCTCCACACTCGTTTTCCGCGTTGAGCGCCTTTATTTAGAACGCAAGAGTTCTATATTCAAATTTAAAAATGTTATAAGAAACCTTTTTCAATTAAAATTAAAGGAAAAAAGAAATAGGGTTTAAGTGATACTAAAACTCTTTTATGACATCAATCATGGATTTACTATCAGAAGGAGATTCCGAAGTGCGAGTGTTAAGCGCTCGCCATATAAGTGATAAAACTTTTACTGAAACAAACAATGCGATCAATGCGACGACGCTTCTATGTCAAAACTACAGTTTGCAACCCGATTTCGTGACGTACTTCGCAGGTAAGCGCTTAATAATTGTTGTAGTTTGTTTAAAAGTTAATATTTGGTCAGCCCGGAAACCGTGGAATGCTTCAGGTCAAGGCCGTCTGGTAACTTTCTTAATGACCCGTCCTGTAATACCGGACACACAAAAAAGTCTTGTAACTGTCAGAAAACTCAGTTAATATTTGCATACTTTTAGTAAATATTTACAACTAAATTATTATCATAAAAAATAAGGGCATCCGCCCGGATAGCGGGTTCGAGTCCCGTCTGCTGCCTGGTACGCGTGGATTTTTTTCTAGTAAAATTTTCTTTCGATTTTAACATTTAGCAAATAAATGCTTAAAAAATAAAAATATAAATAAATAAGGACTTGCCTTATAGTTCATTCGCGTTAAGAAAATAGTGACTCATCACCGACTGCCGGCCAAGCCACGCCCCCTAGCCAATTAAAACGCTAGAAATTAGTAAGGCGAGTTCACAGTGCTCAGTTGAAGTCAGACCTTCGAACTGATCGGTTGTGTATTTTGCGTACTACTTGTTTAAAATTAAATTTGGAAAATGGATATCTCACCTATTAAAAAAAATAAAAGTGGATCAATTATACATAGCGGAGAGAGACGCGTAATTTACAATGTTTATAAATATTTCAAACAGATTGATTTAAATGAGACTGTGGAGAGCATAGTAATTAAAACTGCAAGTGCATGCGGTGTGTCCGAAAACACTGTTTATAAAATTATAAAAGAACAAAAAGAAACGAATACATTGAAATCACCTGTGAAAAAAAGAGCTCGACTATCCACGGTCGATAAATTAGATGAACTAGACAAATGTGCAATAAGGAGAAAAGTACACTCTATATATTTAAATAACGAGTATCCAACATTGGACAAAATAATAACACTTTGCGAAGCTGATGAAGATATTCCTGTTTTCAAACGTACAACACTTCACAAAATACTGCACGAGCTTGGTTTTGACTTCAATAAACAAGATAGTAGAAAATTGTTAGTGGAAAGAGAAGATATTGTTTTATGGAGGCGAAAATATTTAAGACAAATAAAAGAATATAGAAACGCTAATAAAACCATTTACTATCTCGACGAAACGTGGGTAAACGCCGGACACGTAAAAACAAAAGTGTGGTTGGATACAACAATCAAGAATAAAAGACAAGCTTTCCAAGATGGCTTATCAACCGGCCCAAAAGCTCCGACAGGGAAAGGGAAAAGGTTAATTATATTGCACATTGGCAGCGAAAAAGGATTCCTGGAAGATGGTTTACTAGTCTTTGAATCTAAATCTACAAAAGATTATCATGAAGAAATGGATGGTGAAAGATTCCTTAATTGGTTCAATGGTATAATACCGAAGCTTGAACCAGGAAGTGTGGTTGTCATGGATAACGCTCCCTACCATTCGGTAAAAGTTGAAAAAATACCCACGGCCAGTTGGAATAAGCAGCAAATACTAGAGTGGTTGCAAAACAAAGACATATCTATGGATATGAGTTATTTGAAAAAAGAATTATTATTGAAAGTCGCCGAAATCGCCCCACAATATAATAAATATTTAGTAGATGAGACTGCTAAAAACAATGGCATTACAATTCTTCGTCTGCCGCCTTACCATTGTAAATTAAATCCGATTGAAATGGTGTGGGCCCAAATAAAAAATTATATTGCTGCGAATAATACTACATTCAAAATGAGTGACGTAAAAAAAAAATTTTATGACGCAATCGCGTTAGTAGACGCCAATCGGTGGAAGAAATGCTGCGACCACGTGATACGCGAAGAAAATACCATGTGGGGTTTGGATGACGTCATGGAACATGCAGAACAAAATTCATTCGTAATAAATGTAACGGGAGAATCTAGCGATACTGATTAGCGATTTAAGTACTTAGTTTTAAGACAATTTTGTATTTTTTTATTTTAGTACTTATTACGATTAATCCAAATATGTGTTACTCTACTAATATAGCGTTTAAGTTGACATTAAAAATTACCTTAATAGGAATATTTTAACATGTTTAAAATCATTGATACTTTATTATTTTTCTATTAAACTTATTTAATGTTTTGAAAAAAAATGTTTAATTTTTTCTCCATTATGAATACACCCTTACCCTGCAGTTGCACTGATGAGTCACTATTTTCTTAACGCGAATGAACTATAAGTATCAAAACATGACTTGCTTTTCATAATGTTATACGCATGTTTATCCTGGAGAGTACTCTAAGAAACTTTTTGATTATGATGCCCCACGGCCACGTTTTACCATCGTAATTACTGCTCGACGACAGGAAAGAATTCATCCACGTGCTTATCCCACACCTGCGTGACGAAGCTTCGCGTGGCTTTGGTACTAAAATGCGCTAAGCTTTCAAACTTTGCATTAAGTACGTTTTTCAGCTGGAAATTTACCGTCTCCCACAACACACACTCACACCAATTAGCCTGGCCCAGAAGTAAGAACTGTAAGGCTTGTGTTATGGGAAGCTAGGGTAACGGATAGAATATATATACTGTACATGTATAAGCATATTTATATAGAAATACATATTAAACATCCATGACTGGAGTACAAATGCTCGTATTCATCACACAAACATCTGCACCCACCGGGATTCGAACTCGGGACCTCTCGAGTCGGCGACACCATGAAACCCAGCGTACAAACCACTCGGCCCTCTAATTCATTTCGACAGAATTAATTCAAATTGCATACGCAAATTTTAAGCGAATTCAGTACCAAAGCCACCCGAATCTTCGTCACTCAGGTTTGGAAGAATCATAAGACTGGTCTGGCCATACACGAACCGCTTGCTCGAGCAGTTAGCCAGTGATCAACATACACGAGCTAAGCCTGTGTACTTTGAAAAAAAACGAGTTGGTCTCGGACCTAATTTTTTTATGCTACTGCGGGCCTGATGGCCCTGTGTATTGCTCTAGTGTTTCTTAAGCTGCAAGGCAGTGCCATCTCTTCGCTTTTTAGGTAACCCACAATGTCCCGTGAATTATTTTCTAGTAAACTCGTATGTAACTCTAAAACGTAGCAAGAAATCTCACATCTGAGAAAACTATGGACAAAAAGTAAAGAAATTATAAGAAGTATCAGACTATCGTCATTTTGTAATAAATTAATAGTTTAAAAAAAACTGGAAAAACACGCTTTTATAAATACACGTAAAAACCAAAAATAAATTAAGGATCGTTCAAGTTGTCGCTATTTCTGGGCTGCGGTGTGTATGTGCTCTTAATAATAATATTTGATTGTAAAAGCGTGGGGCGCTGGAACAGGAAAGACTTTATGTATAATTTGCTGAGAAATCAAGATATTAGTAATGCGATATTCATCATTATAATGAATAGAATATCTAAGGGAATACTAGTCGTGCTGCAAGTTACTGGAGCGCCAATCTGTGTAACCTGCTTCCCGTAACATCGCTTAACTTGATTTCTCAGCAAGTTATATAAAAAAATCTTTCCTTTTCCAGCGCCCTACGCTTTTACAATCAAATATTATAATTAAGAGCACGACATGGAGCGCTCAGTTGGAACAAACTTAAAAATAAATACATTAAGGCAAGGGAACTGTAAGAAAGAAACTACCATAGGTGGACAAAACTACCATAATAAACTACCATTGGTAGAGAAAACTACCATAAAAATACTACATTTGATGAGCAAAACTACCATAAAAAATTACCGTGGAAGGGAAAAAATACTACATATGATGAGTAAAACTACCATAAAAAATTACCATAGGAAACTACCGTAAGAAACTACCCTAGTGAGAGAAAACTACTAAAGGTAGACTGGACATTAATATAACCGTAATATAACTGTTCTGTGGCTATAAAAAACAAAATTTCCCCAACAAAATTTTCCACCAAAATCTACCAAAACCGTCGTGACGGAAAAAATCTTAAATTTTGCGTACTGTCCAAAATGGTAATTCTGAAAAAATTAATTGGACTACCAAAGTGGATTATAGGAACAAAAGAAAAACATGAATTGGACCATATCCAAGTCATAACTTTTTTCTATGACCATGTATTATATGGCAGCTGTCGCCATGGGGTAATTGCCTATCTATGTCACTATTAATGTTTTCTTTTAAAGAATTCTATCTGAACCGTTATAATTTTCCTTAAAAGTTAATAAAAAGCATTGTTAACATGATTTTTTTCAGGTTTTTCAAGCCAATACTTTAGCTTTTAGAGGGGCGCCCTACTCAAACAATAATTAGCACTTTAAAGCTCAATATTTTGCAAATAGATCACTAAATCGACAAATAGTTTTAGAAATCTCAAAGTAATTTTAATGAACCTATGCAACGATACCCCACACGATAGGGTAGACGATGAAAAAAAAAACATCCACAGGTTACATATTGTAGAGGAACTACCTTAAAACATATTTTACAAAAAAAATACTTATATTTTTTTATTTAAACTTTATTTTATCAGTGTCATTGGTATACATATATATCTCCACAAAATATCAGCTCTCTAGTGATAACAGTCTCCAAGCAAAACCGGGGACAGACAGCCAGACGGACATGACGAAACTATAAGGGTTCCTTGTCAGGACTACGGAACCCTAAAAAGAGAATACTTTTCAGAAATAAGTTGTTATAAAAAAAACCTTATGCTTATGCCCACAAAACAGCGTGCACTTCAAAACGAAAGCTTTATTATTTTGCAGCGACAAATTTCAATGATGAGGAAAATTTTAGAAAAACTCTGAAATTGACGTCGTTTTTCGTCTTTGTCTGTTACGCCTTCATAAATAAGGAAAGTCCCTTGTGCGCAGACTGTGCTTCTCTTATTTATTTAATTGAAAAGGGGTACCAAAAATGTTTTTCCTTTACTTATTATTTATAAATTATTGACTAGGTTATAGTAAAATAAAGCTGATTTGAAGACTCATATCTAATTTATTACTTACTATTGTTTGCTTTTACAAAAGTGATAACCACTTATACACTCGACAGCACATAAAAC